TATACATTATACTACCATGGTCATATGGTACCTTACATGGTACTAGTTCATAATTATCGGGTATTATTGCTCGACCCGTATTTTATCCCAAATGCCAAACTTGGACGAAAAATTCATTTCCTTTGACTTTCTCCCGCTCTCACATTCAAGAGTTTACCTATTTCTTGTTTTAAATAGCATAATCCTTATAATCTCCAAATAATCTTTTCCTTGGACTGATGTCAATTACCTTATGACAAATTTAACGTACAATACTACAGGGTGCAACATCGTCGTAATGTAGCACTGCGGAACGTGACATCTCACTTCCGGGCTCTCATTAATTTATTTATGGCATATTTTCATGTTCGAATATATGGGGTGTAACATCATTCCCCCCTTTGGAACATTCGTCCTCGAATGTTGACTGATGCGCTTATCGTTCTCATATCCCATAGCTCCTGCGAATACTTTAGTTGTCCTCTTGCCATCTAGGCAACTGTTCTGTGAATAAGTCCAAAGGCTAGGGCATTCCCCCCTTTAGGCCTCTTTCCCACGCCATGATTTGTGATCGAATTCTTTCCAATCTCGTTACTATTGCTACCTTCCATCATGCAGCTTCTACGATACTGACCTTGTAAGTGTGCCTATGCGACTCCCCTCTCCTTTTTCCTCTAGTTTTTAGCCAATCCTGAAGTTCTTCGCTTGGTATTTTGTCGAACTTACGAATATTGCTATATCTTATTTTATAGACCTGGTTATGCATTCGTATGACTAGACTGCATCTACATAGGTCATACTATACCATAACTCTTACCTCGATTTCTCTTTACTGAGGTCTGTTACCAAGTCCCAGGTTACTTTCATTGCTTATCCCATACGTATAAATCTATGTCCTCTAATGCTTCCACATTACTGTTCATCTTAAGAATGACGGCCTAATCTCCTCTCATACTTTATAACTTTTATCCATCCATTATTGATTCACCTCAATTTTGATCCATAATCCACCCTGATAGCTTAACCTTTTTTGTAATATCGCTTCTAGGATTCACGTTTTATCGGGGAACATCTGAAATGATTAGATTGATCCACCTGGGCGATACCCTGCTTTCATTACCGTATCTCACGGCATCCCAATGTGATTCACCTTGCATGGGTATTTTAATCATGTCCAATTCATGAGATCCTTTTCTTTTATTCGTCAGACCATTATTCAATCGAAAGCCCAAACGTCATTTTTTTGTCTACAATAATTACACCTTCATTCTATTAACAGGCAGCATTCCATTTCTTCTGAATGTTATTAGTCTTAGACTCCTTTGAGTTCATTCAGGCTATACTGAACTTTCTATAACTTAGAGAAACCATTAGCTTTCTTGTTTTCATGGGTTTGAATCCCGAGGACTTATCCGTTCTCGTTACCATCTCACTCGCCCTTTCTCGTTCTTAATCCTGTCATAAAACTTTGTCGCTTTAATATACTTTAGCTTGGGACCTATACATATCTATTTATACTGTTCGCGGCCTTCCAACTTGCTTGCACCATAGATTTTCTTATGTTTTCTGGAACATCAAGCGAGACATCACATCGTCTCTAACTATTCTTTACTCACATAACCGGGCTTTTCGATACCTAGACCATAGGCTAGAAGATATGCTACTGACGCCGCTGCTATCATTCCTGGATATTGAATCCCCGCGCTTCTAGCCTTCTATCCCAAGTATGGAATATTCTCAACCTTCTGCTTTTGAGTATCTCGTACATTGTTCACCTTTACCTTACTTTCCTTAAAGCCTCACATCACATCTTCTATCTCTTTCATGACCTTCCCTCCACATAGGTATAATTCACATCCACGTCTTGAACTTCTATTATAATACATGCACCTCTTTACACAATCTCGTGAGAGCTTCATACTAACTTCTTATGAGGTTGGGACACTTCTAACTGGCTTTATCATAGAGTTGTTATAGAATATGGCTACTGCACTATCTCTCTTGTACCTATGATAGTAAGAGTGATACTGCAATGTTCTCAATCACGATTTCTATAATTTTCAGGGTCCAATAATCAGATTCCTGATTTACTTCATTGATGTATCTCTTTAGTTTCCCCCTTCTTCTGATCATCCTTTATGTAGGCTTAAGCTTACTACCGACATGCGGTTCATGGTATTAGTTATTACGTTTAGCCTTTTATAGGTGCTGAGAAATAACCATGATACAGTCCTTTGTCTATGACCTGGGCTCAATTCTTTCTTTTAACTTATACCGGAATTTTCTACGGCTGTATATGCTGCATGTATAAAACTCCAAACTCTTAAGTGCGTTCATAACGTAACTAACTATGGATCATGAATCGAATAATTCTTTTTGTTCCATCTCAGCCTTCTTCAAACATAAGCAATTACTTTTCTTGGTCTTTCTGCCCCCTTCTTGCGTGCATACATAGTTTATCTTTGTGTCCACACATATTGGAATTCCATAGAACTCATATGATCTTAAATATCACTTTTGATTTCACTTCCCGTTCCTTAGCCGTAGTAGGTGTCATTTTCTTTTGGAGTGCATACAATGTTATTGTGAGACTGTCGTTATAAGACCATTTCCTCCTTAGGTCACCCAGCTTAGGTTGAAGCCTTCTTCCTTATTTCCTCAGCTAGTCTTTCTTTTTAGTACTTAGGAAGAACCCTTGACCCTCGTAAAGCATTGAGCTTATTACAGATCTTTTGATGTCCTTCCTTGCCTATAATTATCCGTAGTTGCTTATCTCCGTGCCCTTGTGCTTGTAGGGTTGCTTCTGAACTGATATTTTGACTGCCTTCCTAGTGGCACTTTCTTTTATCCCCGTAACACATATATGGTACCTTTAACCACCCCGACTCATATTTGAATATATCTCAAGTATTATAATGACATTACTGCGAGGCTGAATTCTCCATGTTGGGGTTTACTACATTTATCTTTCATGATCTGTTGATTTGTCCGTAACTTCTTGTCTAGTCATGACTAGGCTCTTCCTGCATCAACTACTAATTACTCATTGGCCCATTCTCATATCATATTCTGTGTAATTTTTGTTGGGTTATTTCCTTGTCTTAACTTACCTTTCGTACTGGCTCCTTGTCTAACAATAACATCCCGTGCAGGAACTTTTTTTTCGACATCGTGCTTCCATAATGTTCTGGAATCATAGCATATCTGTAGCATTTGGATAAGTGCAATCTCATCCCTTTCTTATTCTTATCGCATCCTTCCTTTATCGCTCCATAGTTACTAGATCCACTTAATTCTGACTTACTGCCTCATCACTCCACATTCCCCCCTTTAGGGGAGTACTAAGAGTTGAAGCCACGAGGATCTACCTATAGATGTGTTACCTCTTTATCATTGGCATTTTTTTTTTCACATCATCGATGACCCTTCCTTGCCTTGCGGCAATCCTTCTGTACCCAGTATAAAAAAATTCCTCGCTCGCGATGGTGACACTTAGCGTAACTGACACATACAGTCTCTTAAGCTTAACTTTGCTCACATTGCTTGCTTTAGGGAAGCGTCTCCTTGAATGACCATTCTCTGAATTCATCATGAATCTTCTTCTGTGGTCCATTCTATTACCGCCAGAACGAAATCTGAAATTCCCATGATGCCGAGTATTTACAATCATTCAGTCCCTAATTCATGTTTAGTTTATCTTGTTTACCAGCCCATACTGATTTCTATTACTCTAGGGATTAACTCACCCTTCTGGTAGTCGCGTTGGAGTCACGAACTTATTTCTCGAAATGAGGATATAACCTTATGGCCTATACTCTTTTGTTGTCTTAAGGCCCATCACCTTTCGTTTCTTTCTTCATTTAACTATAGGTTCTGTAACACTCTACCGTTGTCATCCATGTATCACACCTTATTCATAATGCTTCCTTATCTCTCTTCTCATTACACTGCTAATATTTCTGCATATCCCTTTTCTTGTGAAAACTTCAACACGACATTCTTTCACTTTTAGCTTTCCTTGCTTCATTCATCGGTTCTTCGAGTTGCTCAACGTCCTCGCTCTACTAGGGACGAGAGTTACACAAAGGTAATATTTATCCTTTCAAGGCTTCCAGTGCCTTTTTTTTATAGTACCCATATCTAGCTGTATTATTTCAGAGTGTACCATCTTGGTGTCTCATAAGGAGATTTTGTTAGTACATTTACAATATCCTTCGGCAATGTCAACTAAGATCCATTCACCAATTTGGGTACCCTAACCCCAGCCGGATCCTGATATCCCGTCCTTTTTTTAACTATACATGTTAGCCCCCATAGGGCATAACTGAAATGGGTGTGACCAATTGTACATACCTCTGTTACTATTGAATATTACACAAAAAGCATATGTTCCTCTACCTGAATTATAAACATTGTTAACCTTCATTAACTGGGCGCCTCGTACCCTTCTTCATCTTGCTTCCTTTGCTTGTTGAAAGTTGTATTTATCTTCTTAATCTCTCGTTGTCTTTCGCCATAAAGGAGGATAGGCATTCTTTCCTTAAGGCTTCTTATCAGGAAGCTTACACTTTTCAGTACACCCATGATCTGCTAAAGACCTCACATTTACTTATCGTAGGCATCATACAAAAATCCAATTCATCTGACTCAGCTCTTCCACGGCTATCTCTCTTTCCAACCTTCTTTCCAGATGTAGGTATTGTCTTATTACGAATAAAATAGAATTTCAAAATTTGAATTCTTAGAAGTGAGCTCTACCACACGATCTAGAGTAAGAAGAAAGAGTGACAATCCTAAATGCCCTGTAGACTCCTGTTTATAACTGTGGTGCACGACACACCCATAAAAAAAGACTCTACTAGACACGGCTCCTAGACTCCCTAGGACAGAACTACTCTGATACCACTTTTGTCACGACCCAAACCGATGGGCCGCGATGGGCACCCGGTACCTTACTCAATGAGTACCAACGTATTGTATCTTTTCATGTCATACTATCATAAATAACTAAGCCGGCGATGCTGCCGTGAAATATGTAGAATACAACAGGTAATGCCAACTTATACATAAGACATATGGGCCTCTAAGACCAAAATGACCACTTGAACACTAAACATAGGTCGACAAGGCCATACAATCTTTTACGTACATGACATCTGTCTACAAGCCTCTAAGAATACATAATTTTCATATAGGTCGGGACAGAGTCCCGCCATACCAAACAATACACAACTAACTCATACTAACTAAACAAGCAACTTCGAAGCAAATCGAGCGCACCAACATCTTCCGTTGAGCTGATAGCCTACTTGGAGGGCTCTCGACATGTCTATCGGGACCTGCGGGAATGAAACACAGCATCCCCAGGCAATAAGGGACGTCAGTACAAATAACGTACTGAGTATGTAAGGCATATAAATAAGTACATAACAGACATGGAGGAGATATATAGTAAATGACTCCACCTGTAAATCTGAATAACTTTGTAAATCATGAAATAATTATAGTATCATGTATATGCGTATGAATGTCATGTCGTGCATAGGTACATGATTCATAACATCATCAGCCTCTAAGGGCATCCCATCATATCATCTTGGCCACTGTGGGCAAAATCATCAACGTATACCAGCTGATCAGGTGGTGGTGCGTATATAACGCCATAACCTTTCCCATATCCCATATACATATATATACATACATATATACGCGTATATAACGCCATCTGATCATGGGTCAATGTACATGAATGCAATGCATGAAAAGTACATTAATAAAATCTCTTGGAGTGTGATAAGACCATTATGCCTTTGAATAATATCATGAATTAAACCCATTTTTTGAACTTACGTATTTTTCTGAGACCCATGAACAGATGATAGGATAATATGACACATGGGAGAATAAGAATATACGCATCTCTAGCATTTTTACGAATAGAGTAATTTATGAAAGTTGTGTATTTGCTCGTTTCGTTTGCATCGTAAGGATCATGCCAAAAGAAAGAAGGGATAGCCTTAACATACCTGGAGTAGGAAAACTTCGTATAATATTCTTGGCGAAAATTGCACCGTACTTTTCTAGAACCGCAAAATTCCACGTTGCTACTATTCCAACAAATTCTCGTTGGAAAATTTGCTTCTGTTTCTAACGTTTTTGAAGAAGATTTATATATAGTATATATATATATATATATATATATATATATATATATATATATATATATATATATATATATATATATATATATCAAAGTGAGTTATTTAGCTTCTGTTTGTAATATTTCTTGTGGACCAAAGACAGAACGTTTTTGAAGGAATGATTCATGGATAATGCTTATAAGCTCGTTATGGGTTCTGCAGTAGCCTTTGGTTCAAATGATTGGGATGATTTCATGCAAGAAAATGGAAAATTTACTCCAACTTTAATGGTGCACAATGAACTTCAAGCTGAAAACCAACCAAGTATTGAAAGTGAAAGTGGATGTTTGAGTTCTGCTTATAAGTCTTATTTTGATAAGACTTATAAAATGTCTCTTTCTTGCCACTTAAACCTTAATGTGACACATGTAAAGATGGATAATGAGTCACTTTAAACTAAAAGGGGGCTGCCACGTTTCTTTTGGGGTGTAATTTTATTAATTTTTATCCACTTATTAGTTAATTGGGTAATATTTCGTTACCCGGTAATTAACCAATTACCCGCATAATTTAAAAATTGCCACAAATTACTTAAAATTCTACTTATTTTTAATATACTTTATACATTATACTACCATGGTCGTATGGTACCTTACATGGTACTAGTTTATAATTATCGGGTATTATCGCTCGACCCGTATTTTATCCCCAATGCAAAACTTGGACGAAAAATTTATTTTCTTTGACTTGCTTCCCCTCTCACCTTCACGAATTTACTTATTACTTGTTTGAAATAGCATAATCCTTATAATCTCCGAATAATCTTTTCCTTGGACTGATGTCAATTACCTTACAACAAATTCAACGTACAATACTACAGGGCGCAACATCGTCGTAATGTAGCACTGCGGGACGTGACATCTCACTTCCGGGCTCTCATTAATTTATTTATGGTGTATTTTCATGTACGAAAATATGGGGTGTAACAGCAGATCATCTATCTCGACTTAAGAAACCTCATGTTGAAATAGTTGAAATAAGGGAAGAATTCCCTGATGAGCAGATTTTCTTCATTGCTGCAATCTCCGAATGGCCACCTTGGTATGCTGATATAGCCAACTTTTTGGCTAGTGGATAGTTTCCTCGTGACCTCTCTCGTGATCGAAGAAGGAAGCTTCAAGGTGAGGTAAAAAGTTATTTTTGGACCCTTTCTTGTTTAAACTGTGTACAGATGGTGTGATTCGAAGATGTGTGCTAGTCACACCCCTTTTTTGACCTCTTAACCCTCTTAAAAATGGATAAAAGGATTTTTAAAGCTTGAAAAGGGTTTTCAAATTGAAAGTGACAAAGTATTTGTTTAAAAGGGATTGTTTCAGAGTTGTCACTTGTCATATGGCCTCGGTGTGCCAAGTTACCATTAAAAAGCAATTTTCCTTTAAAAACATATTTGACTCTAAACCAGTTCGCACCAGAGATTCTAGATAAGGGGGTTCATTTGACTCGGGGAGAAGGTGTTAGGCATTCCCCGAGTCACGTAAAAGTCATGGTTGCACACATGATCTAATTGGATTTTAGAAATACTCGATTGAGGTAGAAACATACAAAAAGCAAAAATAAACACAGAAGAGGCTCGAAGTCGTCCCCACCTAATAAAAGAAGAATGAGAGAAAAGAAAAGAAAGTACTAAAAGAAAATATACTAAGAGTCTATACTATGCTCACTCCACGATATCTGTCACGACCTCCAATTATAGTCACTTCGGGGCAATACCCCTGAATAAAAATATATACAGAATCTACGGGGCATTCCCCTGAATATAACTAAAGGGGACATCCTCTTGCCTCGGCTAAAAGAAAAGATCTAAAATTTGCCTACCCGCGTGTTGATGGACCTAACATGATACTAGCGACGAAGCAAATCAAGTAACACAATTAAAATGGTAACATCAATTTTTATTTTTTGTGTCCAACCCCACGGCTCAATAGAATAAAATATGGAACAAAGCTAATTCTTGATTCTTTTAATTCTAGACTAAATAATACTAAGTCAGATTATATTTACCCAACCATTGGACGTATTTATCAAAGTTTACTTCACTAAATCGGTGCTTTGTATTCTATTGTTAAACTTGAATCATTAAGAAAGCAACTCCATCAATTGACTTTGCTATCTACCCAATTTCAGCTATTATTTAAATTAAAATAAAAAGGAACAAACTAAGAACAAAAGACACGAAATTCAATATCTTATAGTGATCTGAGGAAGTTGACCCAAAACTGTTTGAAAATAGAAAAAGTGGACGAACACAAAAATTGAAAGAAAAAAAAATATCATTAACGGAGAAACAACACATTAATAGAAATCGTCATCAATAATTTTAACGACAAGAAGCACAGAAAGATGAACCAGTAACACATAAAACAGCGTATGCAAACAGAGATATCAAACAAATAAAAGAGAGAAGTTTAGAGGGACCTTAACGCGCGAAACTTTCGATTATCGGGAAGATTCAAGTAAAACACCTCGAATCTATTGAATCCAATCACAAAGAACATCAACAACATGATTTAAGAGCCACGAATTGGAACCCGCACCAGCAACCAAATTCGAACGGCGAATTCGGCTCAATCGAACTCAAAAACCAAACTTCAATCTGAATTGAAAAATCCATAGTTTTAAACAGAAATCGGATTGGAGATGAAGAAACAAAATACTTTTACCTATTTTTTTTTTGTTTTCTGAAATTAGATCAGAAACTTCAAAAGAAGGAAAATTCTTTCCAAAATTTTCCCCAGATTTCTGTTCCAGAACCTCCCTAATGTATCTATGCGTGTGTTTCTTTCTTCTTTTTTTTTTTTTTTTTTTTTTTGAGAAGGAGATGATGGAGGGTTATATTATGGAGGTGGACGGCTGAAGCTTTTTGTTCATTCCAGTGAGGCTGCCATCTTTTCTCTTTGTCTGAGAGAATGAGATGGTGAGAGGGCGCCGATTTTTGTGTGTCAATGGAGGGAATGGGTTTGGTTTCTTCTTGGGGTGACTGGAGTTGGCCGCTGAAGATTCAAGAAAACCAGGATGGTTTTATCGGCGTGTGTCACAATCCAAAATCTTCGTGATGGAGTCGGACACCACTGTCAGGCAAGCCAACATTAATTTACTTGTAATTCTTTATTTTAATTACTTCGAAATCGTTTCTTTTATACATTAAATAATAAGTAATAAATTTCACTGAATAGATATTTATGTCTTTAACAAACTTAATATTAAATAATCACATAAACATCCCAGAACCGGGTGTCACAAGTGCATGAGCAATTACTAAGAGATCGAATAAAGTACAATAACTTTCCGGAATACAAATTGGACAGAAAGTAAATACAATACGCTGAAAGAGACTATACTGGCTGCGGGTCGCCTCGGGAAATGCAGCTCACCTAGTCTCTATATCATCCATGCTGCTACGCCCAGTAGGCCTCTAGAAATACATATACATGTGCAACAAAATGCACAACAAGTGTAGCTTGAGTACGAAAACAACGTATACTCAATAAGTATCCTGTCTAATCTCGAAGAAGTAGAGACGAGAGGTCGACTTCGACACTTACTAGTGGTCCAGTAATGATACACCAATAATATAATAAATTGAGGATTTTTATAAAAATGGATGTAACTCAGTAGAATGAAGCAAGTAATCAATTCCTTCTTTTATAAATAATTCCCAAATTCCTTTTCATAATTTATACATTTGTTCTCAAGCCGGGAAGAAACAATATCAACTTCAATAAATTTCAAGGCAAGCAATACAAGCATGCGCAAATCATGTCGAGGTCGTACGGCCCAATCCAACAATATTTAAACTGTGCACTGCCAGAGGGTCTAATGGCGCGAACCATAGATGCATCTATTACCCAGCTCGCGAATCATACATGCGACGCGGTCAAACATAAGTAAACAATCACCTTGCTCGCGAATCATACATGCGACGCAGGTACACATAGAAACGCATACTCAAATAGTCATTCAAGACATTCATGGAGGAGACAATTATTCAAGGAGGTGTAAATTTTCCTTTTTTACAAGTCACGAAAATAAAGTTTTACTCTTTTGGAAAATCATTTGCCACTTCGATACGATATAAGCAATTTAACTATCAATAAGGTTGCAATTATTGCAAGTAAGCATGCTTTTGGGTCCTAGACTACCCGGACATAAGCATAATAGTAGCTATGCACGGACTCTCATCACCTCGTGCGTACGTAGCCCCCACAATTAGAAACACATATTCAATTAATTCACCTATGGTGACAATTCCCTCTTACAAGGTTAGAAAGGAGACTCACCTAGTTCCGAAGCCTATATCCCAGTTCAAGAACGCGCTCAAACCTCCAAATTGGAGACGAACGATCCAAAACTATTCAAATGGTGTAAGAACTAGTCAATACATGCTCAAAAGTTCATATTCTAATTATTAAACAATTTCCCAACCCTAAATGCAAGGTTCCTAAAATTCATCCCCGGGCCCACGTGCCCGAATTCCGGAAATTTTTGAAGAAAGTTGTTACACATAACCTAAGGATTAATAATATATAATTTCTACTTCATTCCATCACAAATTTCGTGGTTAAATCTTGTTTTTATCAAACTCTAGGTTTTTCATCTAAACCTTGATTTTCCCTAATTTTTACATGTTACTCTACCCATAATCTATGTATTTAACTCATGTTGTGTAGAAATTACTTACCTCAAAGTGCTAGGTGAAAACCCTCTTCCAAGAGCTCCAAAAATCGCCTAAGAGGATGAAGGAAATGAGCTAAATGGTCTAAGTCTCGAAATTAATAGCTGGACACAGGCCTCTGATGTCACATTTGCGACACCGGGTTCGCAAATGCGAGGGTCGCAAATGCGACAAAAGCCTGACAAATGCGAAGCCTGCTCCCCCCTCCCCCTTATTATCGTCGCATTTGCGACAAGAAGGTCGCAAATGCGAAGGTTCCATCGCAAATGCGACTCCCGACTGGACTGGCCCATTTCGCAAATGCGATAAGGGTTTCGCAAATGCGAACCCTTCAGGCCTCGCAAAAGCGACCCAATTGTCGCAAATGCGAACGATCTTCCAGCTGCCCATGTTTGCAATTGCGAACAGAACCTCGCAAATACGATGACCGCATTTGCAACCAAAACATTGCAATTGCGATCATACCAGTACCAGCAATCGTATTTCTTAGCAAATCACTCCGAAGCTATCCTGAATCTCACCCGAGCCCCCGGGGCTCCAAACCAAACACCCACACAAGTCTAAAAATATAACACGGACTTGCTCGAAGCCTCAAATCACATCAAACAACGATAAACCCATGAATCGCACTCCAATTCAAGCTTAATGAACTTTAAGATTTCAAACTTCTACTTTCGATGTTTAAACCTATCAAATCATGTCCGATTGACCTTAAATTTTGCAAACAAGTCATATTCGATATTACAGACCTACTCCAACTTCCGAAATCGGAATCCGACCCCAATATAAAAAAGTCAACTCTCGGTCAAACTTCCCAAAAACCTTCAAATTTCTATCTTTAGCCAAATGACTCCAAAATGACCCACGGACCTCCGAATTCACTTCCGATCGCGCTCCCAACACCAGAATCACTGTACGGAGCTATTCCCACACTCGGAATCCCAAACGGACATTGATAAAAGTGAGATGCACTTCAACCCAAACTTATGAAATTATTCCAAAAATACTAACTTCCACAATCAGTGCCAAAACGTTCCCGGGTCTTCCAAAATCCGATTCGGACATATGCCTAAGTCCGAAATCATCATACGAACCTGCTGGAACCTTCGAATCCCAATTTCGCGGTTGTTTACTAAAAAACCCAATCTTAGTTAATTCTTTCAACTTAAGGCTTCCGAAATGAGAATTCTCTCTCCAAATCAACTCCGAACTTCCCGGAATTCAACTCCGACCATGCGTACAAGTCATAATACCATAAGTGAAGCTACTCAGGGCTTCAAACCCCTAAACGACGCGCTAGAGCTCAAAACGACTGGTCGAATCGTTACAGCGTGTCTGCCTTTTTGTGTCGGGGAAGGGGCTTAGGGTTAAGGGATTTGGCTGAAAATGGGACTTCTCAAATAAAAACAAGACAAAAACCAGTCAAAATTTTTATTCTTTTCCCATTTTTTTTTAATATAAATAATATAGCTAACAAGATAAACTATTAAAAATACTAACTAATCTTAGTTAAGAAAATAAATTATTAAAATGAAATTAAATATTAAAATGAAACTGCCTCTTTTTTGTATTTTTGAAGATTATACTAAAAATAGGAATATAATAATCATGGCAAACGTAAGATAATACTACTATAAAAATACTGATGAACTTAAATAAATAAAAATAAAAACAAACATATATAATGAGATACATTGAAACTATTTGTGTGTTTTTAAATTTATGATTTGAAATTAAAGTTAAAAGTTGACTGAAATCCTATTAAAATGAAAAATAGGTAAATATTTTTAAAATACTACTTTGAAAAGGTGAGTGGGTCAAAAATTACGTGCTTACAGTGCCTAAAGGAGAGATGGCAAGTATTCTTTCTCATTGTCATGATGGAGCGGCTGGACGACACTATGGTGGATATCGCACTGCAACAAACGTCATGGAAGCCGATTTCTATTGGCCTACTTTGTACAAAGATGTACGGGTGTATGTTGCTGCATGTAACAAGTGTCAAAGGGAAGGTAATATTAGCAGGAGGGGTGAAATACCTCTCCACTCCTTTCTGGTATGTGAAATTTCTGACGTTTAGGGTATTGACTTCATGGGCCCGTTCCCATCGTCTTATTCTTATGAGTATATCCTAGTAGCCGTTGACCACGTCTCTAAATGGGTCGAAGCAATCCCTATGAGGACCAATGATTCCCGGGTGGTGTCTGAATTCTATGGGACACCTCAAGTGATTATCAGTGACAATGAGTCGCACTTTGTGAATAAGCAGTTTGTTATATTGCTGTCTTAGTATGGGGTCACACACAAATCAGGAAACCCCTACCATGCCCAAACTAGTGGGCAAGTTGAAGTGGCTAACCGTGAACTTAAACGAATTCTTGAAAAAACAGTTAGTGCTTCTCGTAAGGATTGGTCTGTAAAGTTGGATGAAGATCTATGGGCGTACAAAATAACGTTCAAAACAACCATAGGGACTTCACCGTTCAAATTGGTGCATGGAAAATCGTGTGATCCACCTATCGAGATAGAACATAAAGCTTATTGGGCAATTAAGATGCTTAATCTTGATCTTAGTCTAGCAGGTGAACACAGGTTGGTGCAGATGAACTAATTGGAGGAATTTAAACTGGACGCGTATGACAATGCACGAATCTTTAAGGAGAAGACAAAGATGTGGCATGATCGCCTGATTAAGCCAAAGGACTTTCATGAAGGGGACAAAGTCTCACTATAAAATAGTAGACTTAGGTTGTTCCCCAAAATATTCAAGTCATGATGGACAGGTCCGTATGTGGTGAAACATGTCTCACTGCATGGTGCCACTGAAAGGATGAAGAAGGGAATGAAAGCTTTAAGGTGAATGGGCGTAGGTTGAAACCATACCTTGTTGAAGGATTTGACAAGCAATCCTCTAGCATCGTGATCAGATGAGCCTAAGTGACGGAGTCAAGCTGACGACTATAACTCAACTACTATTTATAACCCTTTTTCTTGCTTTTGTAGAATAGTTTAGATAATTGTAGATTAAGATTATTGGAGATTAGGAGTTTTGGTACTAGTTTGGAAAGCTATAAGCATGGATTGGACAGAAATAAGTACATAATGGAGTTGGGGTGCACATCGTGGGTTAGAAAGTGAAAAACATCAGAACTCTGAGAAAAGTGGCCTAGCATGATGGCGAGTCCGATAGAAGTTAGCTCTCTGAATATCCCCACTACCACGCCGCGTGGGGTGCCGCACCCAACTACGCGGCAGTGAAAAATTACGGCCAGAAATTTTAAAAAAATTAGGAAAATAAAAAAAACATAACGCAGAAACATCCCCTTTCCTTATACAGACCTGTCTCCCCCCCCCCCCCTACATATCTCTCATTCTCTCTTCTCAAA